TATCATTTTAAAGGTATTTTTTGGGTTATGCTATAAATGACACCAACAGGTGCAGAGAAGGTAACTGAAAATACTGAGAAGTTTCCAAAGTGAAAAATAGTAAACGTTGAAATTTTTTTGTTTGCCTTGTACATGTAGGGTATACCACTAAACTATAGCCTAAATTGCAGCTATCAGAGCATTGATTGTGGTGAGACATCACCTGAACCAAAACAGTACAAAGACAAAACGTTTCAAAAGTTGCAGGGGTGGTAAACCAAGTATTATATTGGAGGGGGCTATGATTTTTTGCCTTCATTGTGTAGATCTTTCAATGACCTTTTGGTTGTGAAATTTTCAGAAAAAATTAATAAATATTAAGCATGTAATGGCATCCTGTGCCGTATGGCACTCTCGGGCTGGAAAGGGCTACTATTGCACCATTGGCTTTTATCTGAGACACTTAGGACTTCAGGAAAGGTGGTAGATAAAAATAGATAGAAATTTTCTGATTCTTTAAGGTCGCACATGAATTAAACTTTGCTCTCACAAAGCATTACTTTACTCGCTGACATCACTACACAGTAGTTCATCCCCTTGGAGTCAAACCAGAGGCGTTAGCAGGGCACTCTGTTTCGCGCGGTGACATGCTCAAAGGTGATCTCTTTTCCTTCGCAGTCAATTGCTATCGGAAATCATTTTGATATCTTACAGCTTGAAAAAGGCGATGCTTATTTTCTACGGAGGGGCGGGAACACGAAGGTTATTAGGTATGGACAACCCTACAAATGAAGGTTTACTTCGAACACAGCATTGATAGATCAGTGTAGAACAAAGGAAAAGATGTAATGATACGTCTGCAACAAAAGTATGGAGTCAATTTTGAAACTGATTTAAGAAATTAAACGTTTACTCGCATTTGCATTTGTACTAAAATGTCTTTAGGAATTTAATTTGTCCCGCACATTAAAATCGGAACAAAAAGAAGCAATTTCTATACTGGTGTCTGGTAAGGAGCTACTGGCCGTGTTGCCAAATGCATGGGGCGTAGTTGTCGTTTGTCGGCTTCAACGGATTGTTTATGATCAAATGGAATACGCATCGATTAACGGTAGCTACGCTCACGGATTGTCATTTGGAGGATATAGAGTGCGGCAAATACCAACTCGTATTTGCATCAGCAGAGAACGTTTTGAAACAAATATTATTGCGGGTAAACCTTCGAGTGCAGTTCTTTGTTGCTTCAAAGTATCGTTTACGACCAAATGGAAGAAAAAAAGAAAAATCGTCTAATAGATTAACAGCGGCTATACTCAAAGATTTTCGTTTGGAAAATATGGAGTGCAGCAAATATCAGCTCATATTTGTGACCGCAGAGGAGGTATTGTCGAAGCCAATTCTTTTCTGCTTGAAAATAAAAAACTGTTTCACCTTTTCACTCATCGGCTCTATGTGTGTTTGTTTTTGTCGGATGACAATGCTTCCGGTTTTTAATTTAAATCATTTTGATTGGTTGCCTACTCATTTCGGGAATGCAGTGACGCGCAACTACTCAGGGGGTGTTTTGCTTTTCAACATCCTCTTCGGGTAGGTGTCTTCTCGCCCTTTCCCCGCCCCCTTTCCCCACAGTCCACTCTAACTCCAAATCAAACACGGCCGGTCGATTAAACGATCGCGAGCCTATAACGTTAGCTCACACTAATATGACGCCTGCACAGCAGGCTAAGCCCTTTTCATAGGGAAGTTTTATATAATTTATGTCCAAAACAGCTCCTATCAAGAGTGATGCCGATTAAGCCATTACACTACAATAATTTCGGCCTCTTTAAAAGCCAAAACTACCCCTCATTTCTCCATAACAGCCCCTTATGTCGAAGTTTTGGCTATTTCTGCCCATCTCACCGCGGCCAAAACAACTCCTTTTCAGAACGGCCCAACAAGCCCAAAAATAGTATGGTATACAGAACTACAAATAAACTTAGACGGTAATGCCACTCGGCTACTTTATGAGGGCACCATAAATATCTACCAGAAAGATTTTTCCTCTGCGTCTTCTCGCCCTTCCCCCACCGTCCAATCTAACTCCAATCGAACATGGCCGGTTGATTAAACGATCGCGAGCTTAAAAACAACTCCTTCTGGGCTAAAACAACTCCTTTTCAGAACGGCCCAATCAGCCCAAAAAATAGAAATGTATTTGAACTGAACTATATACAGAACTACACATAAACTTAGACGGTATTACCACTTGTGCTACTTTATGAGGGCATAATAAGTATTTACTTGAAAGATTTCTGAATGGTGGAGCTTTTACTGGCCCACATTCTTATTGCCCTACGTTTTTATCCTCAAGAAGTAATTTCTCGAGTCAGATCTCCATTCTGAACGGATTTCATATCGAGAGCGAAGCACGTTGGCTTCTTTATATTCCAATCCTTAATTTGACCTCAATTCAAGCATCGTCCTTCGTAATTAGTCCACGATAATTGATCCACAGACTGTTTCACTTTTCACATGTGACGGCAGGTTACAACACATTAAACTTTAGTGGAATTATTACTTAAAAACGCCGCGTTATAAGCCACCCCTGCAAACGCCCTTCAAAATTGTTATCAAAAGGTGAACAGTTAGAACTGAACCGCATGGGCCTTACTTCACATACAAGCTATAACAGTCCATTAATCATTGAGCCCAAAATGAAGAACTACCCGTTTCTTTTTGATACAATAGATGTATTACTTTATAAAAACCCCTAACAATTTGATATACATTTAGTCAGGAACTACCGCCTTATGGAAACATCCAAGTATCAAATGGAATCTTCTTGAGATAACCAAGTTGAATTTGTAATGCTTTTACTTTCAAAAAAAGTAATTAAAGAAAAGTTGTAAATAATTAAACGCATATGAAAGTTGATTTTCATTCCTTTTTCGGTAACAAGAAAATGACAGGTGCATCATTCCATTTATATTTAAGTATCTAGCCACCAAGAGCCAAGATATGTAAATAGAAAAATTGGCACAAACACATTTTTAATTTTCTTAAAGAGTTGATGTCAACTTTTCATTGGTATCTG